CGGTCAGTGGAGAGTAGATGGTCAGCGTAGAGGAGACAGTCAGTGTAGATGGTCAGTGTAGACGATCAGTGTAGACGGTCAGTGTAGGCGGGCAGTGTAGAGTAGACAATCAGATAAAGTAGACAGTCAGAGAGAGTAGACGGTCAGTGTAGAGTAGATGGCCAGAGAGTAGACAGTCAGAGAGTAGACGGTCAGTGTAGAGTAGACGGTCAGTGTAGAGTAGATGGTCAGTGTAGAGGAGACGGTCAGTGTAGATGGTCAGTGTAGACGATCAGTGTAGACGGTCAGTGTAGGCGGGCAGTGTAGAGTAGACAATCAGATAAAGTAGACAGTCAGAGAGAGTAGACGATCAGTGTAGAGTAGATGGTCAGAGAGTAGATGGTCAGTGTAGAGTAGACAATCAGATAGAGTAGACAGTCAGAGAGAGTAGACAGTCAGTGTAGAGTAGACGGTCAGAGAGTAGACGGTCAGTGTAGACGGTCAGTGTAGAGTAGACGGTCAGTGTAGAATAGACGGTCAGTGTAGAGTAGACGGTCGGTGTAGAGTAGACAGCCAGTGTAGAGCAGACAGTCAGTGTAGAGCAGACGATCAGAGAGAGTAGACAGTCAGTGTAGAGTAGACGGTCAGTGTAGAGTAGACGGTTAGTGTAGAGTAGACGGTCAGAAAAAGTAGATGGTCAGTGTGGAGTAGACGGTCCGATAGAGTAGATGGTCAGTGTAGAGTAGATGGTCAGTGGAGAGTAGACGGTCAGTGGAGAGTAGACAGTCAGTGGAGAGTAGATGGTCAGTGTAGAATAGACGGTCAGTGAATGGTAGACGGTCAGAGAGAGTAGACAAACAGAGTAGACGGTCAGTGTAAAGTAGATGGTCAGAGAGTAGACAGTCAGAGAGTAGAGAGTCAGTGTAGAGTAGACGGTCAGTGTAGAATAGACGGTCAGTGTAGAGTAGATGGTCAGTGTAAAGGAGACAGTCAGTGTAGATGGTCAGTGTAGACGATCAGTGTAGACGGTCAGTGTAGGCGGGCAGTGTAGAGTAGACAATCAGATAAAGTAGACAGTCAGAGAGAGTAGACGATCAGTGTAGAGTAGACGGTCAGTGTAGAGTAGACGGTCAGTGTAGAGTAGACAGTCAGTGTAGAGTAGACGGTCAGTGTAGAGTAGACGGTCAGTGTAGAGTAGACGGTCAGTGTAGAGTAGATGGTCAGTGTGGAATAGATGGTCAGTGTAGAGTAGATGGTCAGTGTAGAGGAGACGGTCAGTGTAGATGGTCAGTGTAGACGATCAGTGTAGGCGGTTAGTGTAGAGTAGACAATCAGATAAAGTAGACAGTCAGAGAGAGTAGACGATCAGTGTAGAGTAGACGGTCAGTGTAGAGTAGACAATCAGATAGAGTAGACAGTCAGAGAGAGTAGACAGTAAGTGTAGAGTAGACGGTCAGAGAGTAGACAGTCAGTGTAGAATAGACGGTCAGTGTAGAATAGACGGTCAGTGTAGAGTAGATGGTCAGTGTAGAGGAGACGGTCAGTGTAGATGGTCAGTGTAGACGGT